TAATATACTGTAAAAACTGGGATTAAGTATTTTAAAACTAGTGTGTTTGTAGTTAAAATCCAAATTTTATGAATAGGTATGACAAAAGATGTTATGAGAATTTCACAAAATTATTTGGGTCAAGGAGAGACACCTGAGTTAAACATTTAGCTATGGATTCAATTAAAAAAATCAGAGGGTACAATAGCTAAGATTGGGAAACAGCCCAAGTGCCTATCAGTAGCTGAGCGGATAAAGAAGCTGTGGGACATTTACACCATGGAATACTACGCAGCTGTAAAGAAGAAGAATCTCGTACCCTTTGGGACAGTATGGATGGACCTGGAGAAAATTATGCTAAGCGAAATAAGCAGGTAGAGAAAGACAAACATCACATAATCTCGCTTATACGTGGAATCTAAAGAACTTAATAAACTGATGAACAGAACAGACTCAATGACATGGAAGCATAGATGAGACTGATGAATGTCAGAGGGATGGAGGAGGGCGGGTGGGTGGAGGGGGAGAGAGTAACCAAAGAATTTATATGCATATATGCACAACCCAAGGACACGGACAATGGTGGGGAGAGGGACTGGGGAGGGGGAGGGGACGGGGTGGAATGGGTCATTGGGGAGAAAAAGGGGACGTCTGTAATATTTTAAACAAAAATAAAAATTTTAAAAAATCAGAAGGGCTATAGAAACCAGCTCCTGTGAATACAATCTTATTAACATAAAAACACTAGTTTTCCACACTTACAGCACAAATCTTCAGGTAAACAAAAATAGTTCACACAAGCTGCAACAAGAAACAAACAAACAAAAAAGATGGCAAGTAAGAAATTAATTAACAGGAAGTTATGGGGAATGAGGTGGGTGATGGCGGGAGTTCACATAATAATTTCAGGCAAACACAGAACTCTCAAAATGTAGAAAACAAATTTATTATCATAACAATCCTTGGAGAAAAGAACCAAGAAAATGTTATCATTACATGTAAACCTTTCACAGGAAAACTAGTCAAGGCTACAAAAGAATCTCACGGTCTCATCTGCTTCCTGCTGTGCTTGTAGAATGCACCCCCCCCCCC